CACAACTTTACTCCAACACAGACAAGTCTGAGGCCAGAAACCAGAGTGTCAACTAGGGCTGGTCTGGGGTGACAGTCTGCCACCTCCGTGCTTAATTGTAGCCTCACAATGCTCTGCTTCCCCATCCTCTCTGTCTGAGCCGAACAGTTCTCTTCCAAACAAAAAAAAAATGGACACATCGCTGTCGCCAGAGAACAACGGCTTTTACGCGCAAAACAACAAAGTGCCGAGCCACTTGTCAAACCAGCAGAGACGTTTCGCAGCGCCGGCGCATTAATACATATTTCCCTTTGTTCCTATAAAACATTAGCATATATATGAGCCTCCCTCAGTCTGTAAGCACAGCTAAACGCCACGGCTCTGACACGGATCGGATGAATGCGGAGCAACAAACGTTCCACTGGCTCTGCCCGTGTCATTGCAGGTGAATGAGGCCTACGGGTCAGAGGAATGACGTTGATATGGCCTTGTAACCATGGGGAGACGACAGTGCAGTGCACTCCGGGTCATTGCGTCTCCAGCCCAGTTCAATTCTTTCTCTTTTTCTTTTTAAATAACGCCAGAGAATCAATGATAGGTGAATCACAGCCCCCCAAGTGGCTTCTGAAAGCAATCCGAATTCGAGGTAGCAGGAGGACGGCGCGTCGCCGCAGCCGCGATAAGTTATGCGCTTCTTCTCCATTTTAGCTTCTCAGCTATTAATCGTTATTCAAACTGCAGGGTGCGAGCATGTTTTTTTGTTCAAAAAAAGTATGCCAGAGCCTATAATAGCACGTGCTTCATGAATAATTTCATTATCGTAAGCATCCTCTGTACGTCTGAGGCACTGCAGATAAACTGAGTACATTCTACCAGGTCTGGTGCGTATCAACCAGTTATGTTAAAAGATGGAGAGAGGAGGAAGAAGAAGAAGAAGAAAATATCTGTAAAGTTCTGTTTATTTGGTGTATGCTTCCCCTGAGCAGCATGCAAAGCAATATGGTTTTAATATTCCAAATGCAACAGATAAGCCGCGCAGCCCGAGCGCGTGGCTTCGCGGTCGCAACGAATTCGCCGCTATCTTTGGCGCGAGTAGCGGCGCTGGCCCGCCGCAGAGATGCGTCTTCTCTACACAGACAGGGACGTGAACAGAGAGAGATGATCAGTAGAAGCGCAGAAAAGCAGTGGGCCTGCTGTCCGTATGAAAACGTGTATATATGCTAATGCTCTTATTGTTTTTTTGTTTTTTTTTCCCGCCTGTAAACATCCGTCGTTAAATATTTATAACTCACACAGCGCTACTGTCAGTGGACCTTGCTTAAACTCGCTGTCTTACAGTTATCATTTAACTTGCGGTTCGAACTGGAAATTAAATCTTTTTTTTTTTTTTTTTTTTAAACTTTTCCAGGAAATAGCCAAAATCACACCCCTGGGGAAGGTCTGTACAAAGTACGGACAAAGGTGCAAATGAGACTGGTGTGCGCGAGCTGGGCACCGTCAGAGCACTTTCCCTGAATTTAATTTTAGGTCACAAAGTGGATGAATAAATCCAGTAAAAAAAAAACACATTTTAGCCAGTGCAACGGGAGCCCTGCTCTGAGGTCCGCGTGACCTTTTCCTGTTCCGTTCTAATGTGAATGTCTAGGACATATTAGCACATCAGGCAAAAAAATTGATTCTATTAGTCCGTTTACCTCGCCAAACCACGTCAACGGTTTTCCATTTACTGTCAGTATTTTTGGATTATTAAAATGTTTTTTTCCTTCTTTTTTGGAGCAAGCATATCGCCCATTGATTTTAGTAAGTGTTGCCAACTGGGCTGTAATCTCCCCGTTCCATTGCCGATCACAGTGACACAGATACAAGGTGACCCCGTTTCACCTGCCAGCGTTCCAAACAGGAAGTGCGGTGTCACTTCCAATCAGACCCAAAATGTTACCGCGCACGGAGCCGTGCATGCAGAAAGGGATTCTACATCAGCTGCGACTCACCAGCCTAATAAACACTGATCCTGAACCAGTGTTTTTCCCCTTCATGAAGGTAAATAATCTGAGAATGACTGGCAACCCTGCTGTATGGACCCATCCTATTGTTTTTAAAGATTGAATTTATTCAGTTGCCTTATCCAGCTCAAACTGGGAGACACACTGCACATACAGTATGGAGCACACACCCAGGTATCTCTCTGTTGTAACATCACTGCAGCTTTAAGGCATGGTGAAAATAGCATAGCGTTACTGCACTGGTCCGGTTGGCTGTGTGCTGGGCCCTCCACAATTGACAGATTACCCAGGAAACACCAACACAGCAGCCAGGTTTGAACTCAAAGTAAGGGCACATGAAGTAAATTTCATTATATTACATCATTTAGCAGATGCTGTTATCCAGAACAACTTAGACACAGTAGGTTACAGTTTTTTTTCCATTTATTCAGCTCGATTCCCTGCTGGGACACTGCAGGGAATCGAACCAGCAACCTTTTGGCTATAAGCCCTACTCCTTACCACTAGGCCACACTGCTAAATAAATAAAAATGAGAGGGTCTTTGAAAGTATGGTGCTAATGAATTCAAACCTGCTGTTGCTCCAATGCATATCCGTTATGAATTTGTTCAAGGGAGACATAAAACCTCATGCTTAAGGAGATAACAAACAGAGCAAAAAATATACAATCACAATTTTTAGGATGCAATGGAGTGCTGAAAGATGTGAGATTTAGCAAGCGGGAAGACAAAACGGAATAAAAAAAAGAAAAACTACAATATGGCTGCATGAGAGCAAAAAAGGTAAATGAAAGGCAACTTGATCCAGAACGTGCTTTTTCCGTGAAACAGGTAGCAACACAGGGGTGCTCTGACTCCCTGACTCCAGCAGTGGAGCAGAAATCAGGCGCGCTGTGCCTTTCGGCTTTCTTCTGGGTGTCATCAGTACACCCATGCTGTGCCCCTATAAATAGGCGGCAGTATCTTCCCCTACTTCAAAGCAATACAGAACCATAAGCTACACATTCCATACCTTGATTGTATGCAGAGTCCTTAGGGCATTTCTCAAGCACGATCTAAACTATAATGCTTGTTTCTATAAATTGCATTAAGAGGGGACTAAGGCCCTGAGTAGATGCGAGCATTTAAGCCTTGCATCTATGATGTGAGCGATTGCGGCATAAATATCTAATAGTATTCATAGCCCACAGCGATCTTATTCTGTTCGGTCTGGAAAAAAAAAAAACAAATCAAATGAGTGTATCTTCCTTGATGTGATCTGATCTAATGCAACCAAACTGAAAGGCATACAATGATGTTTATACATATGTAAGAGTGTCAGGGATGACATACAGGGAGAAAATAAATGTTATTAAAAACGACCTAATTCTCTTTACTTCAATGCAAATGCTATAACAGAGAGAGATAATATCAAAGAAGACTCTCTGAGCGACTATAAAGAAGTGGCAGTCATATGAATGCGAAACATTCCACCTTGTGGATGACAGACCGCGTTGAGTAATGGAATGCTGTACTGTCTGCACACTGAAAAAAAGAAGAAAAAAAAAACTCCAAAAGGATGACAGCTGTACGGTGGTAGAGTATCGCTGCAATCTTGCAGGTGCATTAGGAAGACTTGCTGGGTTTACTGTCAAGTTATGTGTGACAGTACTCTACGGTTGTACGCTTTGGTAGCATGGATACTGGATATTGTGCTATGTGTGTGCTCTGAACCTTGCCCATGCTTTTGGAGTCAATTTCAGTGAATTAAATAATATAGTCATATTCCTCACTGATATACTTGTGTGTGTATGCATATCTCTATGAACTACAGTGTTTGAGAAAACTGTATGAATAATGGATTCATGTGTCGAAACATACAAAAGAGGACACTAAAGATATCACAGCACACTGGTGGTAAAACATTATTTTAACAACATGTTAACAATTCTGCATGTTTTTAATCTTCAAAACAGCCTTGTTTGTTTTCAATTATATTCTGTCTTCATTGGTTCTCAACAGATACCTTCCCATGAGTCCACATGTGAGGGAAAAAAAAACAGTACATTTTAGCAAAAACAAAAACGAAAAGAAAATACAAAGGACTCTAACAGTCTTCCCACAATGCCTTGGCTCTGTGTTGACATCCCTGGTTTTGTGGATGGCAGCCTGAGGTAACACAAATGATACCATCAGCCGACGGCGTGGAAAAACAAACAGGTGTGTGGCCCGCCACACAAACAGGTCTACTGGCAGTCCCCATTCAACCTGAGAATTTAACAAAATGCGTAGGAACTGCAGTACAGCCCAACATGTTATAAAATCAATATTAATAGAAAATGCCTGGGCCCTTGTGCATTTAAAAATAGCCTCTTCTTGTCAAGACTGCCCTACAGTACACCTATGCCTCGCGGTGCCTTAAAGACAACCAAATCTCTGATGGGACATCAAAGGGACGTTTCGGCACAGGAGTGACTGCTCCACAAAGCCACAGGCACCACCCTGTCCTCTGGGTCCCAACACATTTCCACAGCCAGGACTCGTTTTCTGACCACCGCACAGCCGCGGCGAGGTCCTAACATGCAGGAAACAAGAGGAGGAAAAGGTATCACAGAGGCTTGCAAACAGTAATAACCAAGTCAAATATGAAGCCGACCTTCTTTTCTAAAAAGGTGACGAATCTAACTCGCCGTGAAAACAATGCAATAGGATATTAAATTCCGTCTCGAAGATAGTGATGTTCTGTGTTGTTTTTTTATATATATATTTTTTCGGTCGTTGTTTGTTGTTGTTGCTTCATGGTTTCGACCGAGTGGACCATGAAATGCGAGGCGTCGAGTTCAAGGATGCGGCGCGCGCAAACAATACAAAGCCGACAGAGGGAATAAATAAGAACAAAGTCCGGCCCGAAAGACGAGGCGCAAACACAAAAGAGCTCCTGCTCCTTCAAGACCTCGCCAAGTAATCAAAGCGCTAGCCGCAGCGAGAAAGTCAAAGAGTCTCCGCCGCTCCTGAAATTAGACAGCGGGATTTAATAGCCTGATAGGGCTGAGCCCGACACTGTATGCCAATGAGCGCCGCTTTTTTATGAATTAAATATTTAGGGCCAATCTACACACATGAGCGCTCCTCTCTTAATTGCCATGAATGCAGGCATAAAGTCAAGGAGATAGAACTGTCGCACTAATTGCAAACCCCTGACTTTAAACGAACAATAAATAAACAAGCAAATGCTAAACAGCCAAACATACTTGTGAAAGTTAAGTCTCATCGGAGTGTATAAAGGCAACAAATATGGGAGAGGAAAAAAAAAAAAAGACGGGGGGCTGAAGGAGAGAATTAAAATCTAAATGAGTATATAAGTCATTTTTAATTAAAAGACGTAGCGGTGGAGAATTAATATTTACCACGTTTTGTTCTCCCTTTCACCCCCGTTTCTGCTCCTTGTTTTGATCGCTCCACCATGAAGGGCTTGTTTTCATGTGAGGCACTGAAGGCCTACATCAAACGGCTCAGGTCACATCAACACCATACCCCGGCGCGGTGCGCACGGAAAATTTCAATAAAATGCAGACAATTAGGGCATCGAAATGAACCTCCGAAAGTCAGTATGCCCCAGACGGATCCTCCTTGCCAATGTGAAGTACATCCGGTTTGAGCCGGCCCTGACTTAATCCCTGTTCTAAGTGCTGGTGGTGGTGTTGGCTGTAATTAAGGAATTGGCTTGTGTTTTAAAAACAAAAATTCTGATCGCGGAGACACTGACCTTTTAGAAGATTATTGGCCACAGATATTAGTGCATTATGCTCATCATGTGCATACAGTATATTTGTTTTTATTATCATTTAGCTTGCCCTATTTTGCGGAATTATCCTTTGTTATGTGTCTGAAAATATGCAGGAGGTATGTTTTAAAATGTGATCATCAGAAATCAGCAGAAGTATGTTACATGCACGTGCTAAAAAGAGAATTTTTGATGGTGCGGTCACGTGAGGCACTGTGGAACTGCTTCCACACTGTATTCCCCAACTTCTTTGCTGGATTCTAAAATGGATTCCGAAGGGGCAGACTCCTACATGAGCTAGCAGTGTCAATCAAGCTAATCGATCCTTTGTCACTGAAAAGCATCGGAGAGGACGTGATGTGGATGTAGGTTCCCTCGCTGCTATGCTCTCGGTGCGTAATGGAAGACATTTACCAGCAATGTCGAGTCACAGTAAGAAAATCACTTTCGCATGGTCCAACAATTGTGGTTATAATTTAGTGTGAGCATCCACTGAAGTGAGCAAATGCTTTCCCGCGTTGCCTTTTCAGAAGACAGAGCAGGGATAAGATCAGATAACTGCGAAAAAACTGTGAAATCAACAAGCCAATCATCATCTACTGTATGCCTACCTGGTGAAATGATCCATTTCCTGTAGAGCCAAAGGCCTCTGGGCACAAGAAATCAACACTACAATAGTATCAATCACAGGTAAAACAAGCTCAACAGGGAAAAACAAAGCGCTCCATCCATGCCTCTTTCTGGGAAACATTACTGGCTCCAGCTCAGATGAGAGGGCAACATGACTGGGCAAAATGGGGCCTTGTTCCCATGGCTCAGCCAATGAGGTGTGCAGAAAGAGCCTCTTACCAGATGTCAGCATACATTCATTAATTTCCCTTAATGTATTTTCAGCAAGTTACTTCCACAGACTCACAGCTGCAATGATATGTCTTCTATTTTATTTTTTATTTATTTTTCAAGAAGGAATCCTTTGAGATCTTTTGAATGCTGAGATTTAAAGGCACTTAGGTTTGGTCTGCAAAGGGAAAAAAAACAAGGAAAAAGCAGGGCTATTTATTTGGCGTGTACTTGGCATGTTCTAATAAATGCCTTCCCTGGAAGATCATGTACAAAAACTTTCAGAATTTATTTCCAGAAAACTTGAAATGAAAGCTCCAGTTAGATATAGAAACGTAAGGTGCACAACAGATAATGCTTAAAGAGCAGCAGTCAAAATTATCTCATGCTGAGGTAAGATTCCAGCGCTGAAAACGGCATCAAAATACCTGGAAAAACACTCAACTCTGCTATCCAGCTGCTATGCACACAGTGAAGAAACTGAACAACAACTTACTGCAATTCTTCAAAAATGGTCACGACTGCCATCATATATACTGTTGAAAGTAAAAAAAACCTCACTTCTCTATCTTACTTGTATAAACAGATGGTAGCCTTACCACCTTTTTACTTATTCATTTCACACACAGGAACATGCATAAATATTCGACCTCGGGGGAGACAGTAGATGAAATACTGTTGGACCTCTCTGATAGTAATAGAGACTTCACCTGAAGCTGTTTGCGTTACCGGCTCGCCTGTAATTCTGCCAAGCGCCCGTTTGGAGACACATAGCATCAGCCTTTTGCATCAGAAGGCCTTTTCACTCCACCTCATGTTAAACTAACTGCTGCTGGAAAACCAGGGGGAAATAGGGAAATGTATATTTGAAATTATAAAGATTGGAAAATAAATAAGATGAGAGAAAAGGTTTTTT